CTGCTGAAATTCAATAGATCTATTTCACAAATTTAAATGATGCATATAAATTTCATACATATCGGATGATAACTATCATCAATCGAGCATTAACAAGGTTTAACAAAGTGAAACAAGGGAAATAACTCTAGAAGTAATTATTGTAAATTGCTGAAATTCATTAGGCTTTTTCGTTTCACTAATTTAAATCATGCATATAAATTTCACAAAGATCTGGTGATAACTTTTTGCGTTAGAGCGTCCACAATGATCAATAAAGTGAAACAAGGGCCATAACTCTAGACGTAATAAACGCAAATTGCCGAAATTCAATAGGCTTCTCCGTTTCACTAATCTAAATAATGCATATAAATTTCACAAAGATCGAATAATAACTTTTGGCGTTGGAGCGTTCACAAGGTTCAATAAAGTGAAACGTAATAAACGGAAATTGCTGAAATTCAATAGGCTTCTTCGTTTCAGTAATCTAAATAATGCATATAAATTTCAGAAAGATCAGATGTTAACTTTTGACGTTAGAGTGTTCACAAGGATCAATAAAGTGAAACAAGGGCCATAACTCTAGACGCAATAAACGGGAATTGCTGAAATTCAATAGGCTTCTTCGTTTCAGCAATCTAAATAATGCATATAAATTTCAGAAAGATCGGATGATAACTTTTGACGTGAGAGCGTTCACAGGGATCAATAAAGTGAAACAAGGGCCATAACTCTAGACGTAATAAACTGAAATTGCCGAAATTCAATAGGCTTCTTCGTTTCAGTAATCTAAATAATGCATATAAATTTCAGAAAGATCGGATGATAACTTTTGGTGTTAGAGCGTTCACAAGGTTCAATAAAGTGAAACAAGGGCCATAAATCTAGACGTAATAAACGGAAATTGCTGAAATTCAATAGGCTTCTTCGTTTCACTAATTTAAATAATGCATATAAATTTCACAAAGATCGTATGTTAACTTTTAGAATTAGAGCGTTCACAAGGTTCAACAAAGTGAAACAAGGGCCATAACTCTAGACGTAATAAATGGAAATTATTGAAAGTAAATAGGATTCTTTATCTCACTAATGTAAACAACATATACCAATTTTAAAACAATTGGATGATAACTTTTGGCGTTAGAGCGTTCACGATGTAGCGCACTTCTGTGATGCCACCTCCTCTCCCTGGACCACCACATGACCCACTCTCTGGTTCAGGTCGATTCCACCCAAAACCATTATGCTTAGGCCTTCCCATGAGTCTCATTCCATGACACATTCAGACTGATCAATTTGGTCAGAATAACGCTGGCCACGTCCACGCCATATTCTGGCCCTGCCATCTTCAGTTGATACGCAATACCGACTCTCATCTCTGAACAGAACAGTTCCCCATAGCCCGTGTCGCCATTTCTGGTGTTTTTGAGCAAACTGTAGACGTTCACGTCGGTCACCGGTAAGGTCTACGGCAATGGATGTTCTCTCTTGTGAGTCGTCGGCGCACTGTATCGGTACTGATGGGTCTTCCGTGTGTTCCCACTGTCTGACGTGCTGTCTCAGATGCCTGTGTGAAGGGATTCTGCACGTGCTGTCGCACAACATGGCGGTCTTGTCGCCTTGTGGTTACCCTTGGTCTATCAGTTCGGGGGCGATCATCCGTGGTGTTGGTGGCCCGAAAGCGTTGCTGAAGCCTGTAGTTGATCCGAACATTGACCTGGAAGTGATTGGCAACGGCTGTGACAGTATGGTCAGCGTCGAGTCTAACAAGCGCCTGGTTCCTCTGAGCTGTCGTGAGTCGTGGCATGCTGCTGACGTTGTAGTGTGAATGATTCAACCAGGTGTGGGGGTGCATTTTATAGGGCTGGTCAGTGGTCCCGGTGAACAGCACGTGCAGTGTGAGTTACATGAAAATCACGGAGAACACATTACCATCTCAGAAGTCAGGTTGTGATTTTGAGAACATTTCCTGGGTTCAATTCTGTGTTTGGGAGTCTTATTGTTCAGGTTAAGTTGGAGATATGGTCACAAACGTACAATAACCAGCGGCTGCCAGGCAGGATACGCCCACATTTTGCAAGAGATGGATACAGAACAAGCTAAAAACAAACGGGATTTTTTGTACAATCAGGGACAATAATCCAGAAAGTTATTGTCTGAAATGTGCAAATATCGAAAGAGATTGAGATCTGTGGGAAATAAAGATATGTTTTAAGTTTCATCAAAATGGGATAAAAATTGTGACCTCTAGAGGGCCCACAACTTTCGTATTGCATACGTTTACACAAGAGCGGTCATTTTGTCGGGCAGTTTCATCTCGATTTTCACGAAATTCGAATTCAACCTTCATTATGGTGGAATGATGATATATTTAAACGGTTTTTAAAATCGGAATAGAAACTGAATCCTAGAGAATCCGCACGCTAAAAATGCGATTTTTCGAACAATCAGGAGCCATAATTCAGGAAGTTACTATCCTTTATGCGCGAATATCAAAAAGAACCAAGACCTTTTGGTTATAAACTTACATTTCAGGTTTCATCAAAATCAGAAGAAAATTATGACCTCTAGAATGTCCACAACATTGATATACCATATTTTGTGCGCTATTTGAGTACGAGGGGCGGCCATTTTGTCTGTCAGTATTAGTCCCTTTTTTACGAAAATCGAACTCAACCACCTTTAGGGTGTAACGGTGATGTATTCAAACGTTTTTTTTAAAATCGGATAAAAAATAGGACCGCTATAGTCTCCACAAGCTAAAACGCGATTTTCTGTACAATCATGGACCATAACTCAGGAAGTCACTGTCCGATATGCGCAAATATCGAAAGGATCTGAGATCTTTGGGTTATAAACTTACATTTTAAGTTTCATCAAAATCAGAAGAAAATTGTGACCTCTAGAAGGTCCACAACCTTGATATACCATATTTTTACGCTATTTGAGTACGAGGGGCAGCCATTTTGTCTGTCAATTTTGGGCCGATTTTCAAGAAGTTTCACCATAATCAGAAGACAATTGTGACCTCTAGAAGGTCCACAACCTTGATATACCATAGTTTTACGCTATTTGAGTACGAAAGGCGGCCATTTTGTCTGTCAGTTTTGGGCCGATTTTCACGAAATTCGAACTGAACCATCCTTAGGGTGTAACGGGGATATATTGAAACAGTGTTTAAAATCGGATAAAAATGATGACCTCTTTAGGGTCCACAAGCTAAAAACGCGATTTTTCGTACAACCAAGGTCCATAATTCAGGAATTTACGGCCCGATATGCGCGAATATCGAAAGGAACCGAGATCTTTTATAAACTTACATTTCAAGTTTCAACAAAATCGGATAAAAATTGTGACCTTTATAGTGTCCACAAGCTAAAAACGCGATTTTTCGTACAATCAGGGGCCACAATCCATGCAGTAACGGTCCGATACATGCCAATATCGAAAGGAGCCGAGATCTTAGGGAGATAAATCTATACTTCTAAATCTATACAAACACTTGTGGACGGACGTCCGGACGTCCGAACAGACAGGGGCGACAACAATATACGTCCACATCTAAATGTGGGCGTTTAAAAACATTTGGCAACTTCAGAGTAACATACCAACCTGACGTTTCTTTCGCTGCTTAGTATATAATTCTGAATTATAACAGTATATTTTTTAATCTCAAATGTAAATAATCTGCATAAATATATCATTATTTTTAGAGTATACATGTATATTATTTTAAATTTCAATGCTGAATCATTTGTTTTATGTAGGGAGCCGCGCTGGCTCGGCGAATAAAACGCTGGCTCCCTAACCATTAGGCCTCCCGGGACGGTTTCCCTGTGTCAATGGAGCAGGCCCGAGGGCCTGAAAGGAACATTGTCTAGTCGTTCGGGTGGGACGAGAACCTGAGGTCCCATGTACACAGTGATGTGCACGTAAACGTACCCCTTTCATTTGTTTGAGGTAATTCCGAATATTTACAATAATTTAAATGCATGAAAATGTATTTGTCACAGTATTACTTTGACAAGATTGCTTTACAATTTCAAGAAATCTAGACAATATCCATTCATAAACATAAACACGGTATATAGTCATCTTTCAGAGCTGGATTAACCATTAAGCAATATATTTACGTGCTTAGGGCAGATAACAGTAAGAAAACAACGAAAAACTAAGTAAAATGTTTTAAATATGTCATCAAACAAACAATGCAGATATTCTATGGCACCCCCTTCCCACGATGCCCTAAGCACGTACTAATTTTTTTTAAAAAATGACCTGTATATAAAACCTCCAAACAAACTCTAACCACATGCTTGACAGTTGCTTATGGTATATTACTGTTTAAATATTTAAATCCATATGCAATCCGACCTCTGGAAAAAATCCATTAAGTCTGTTGAATGCAAATTAGAGAAAACAAGGGAAAATTGTTTTGTTTCAGGATTAAGCTACTGAATATAAAACAAATTTTATTTTGGCTTTGTAGATGAAGATAATTAGAAGCCTTTTCAGTGGAGGCTGAAATAAGTCCAAATAAGGGTCTAAGTCAATTTTCACCAAATTTTGACTTAATTGGTTTTTTCAGATTACCTGTCAAAGTTATATTGCATTTAATATGCGAAGTAAATATAAAAGTTTTTTTGGTGAATATCTGGGTAATAGCGTTTTAGATAGGTGCACTAATCATAATCACGAGCAATTATCCAAAGTTCTATTTTGATTGATTACAGGTTTCCAAACTGATTGCTGCACTATCTTGATAACAAGGTCGTAAAAATGTGGTTATCAAGCTTCCCATGTGACTTATTGCACATAGGCACGGCTAAGCAATCTTGGCGATATTTTGGGCCTTTACTGTGTTTGATTTTAATACTCGTTTATCAACATGTACTAATCTACCTGAAATACCCACGTCAAATTCCAAATATCTTTAAAGATTCACTATGTAAGATTTGGATAAGGGGAGCGGTTCGTTCTTGATATAATAGTTCAAAAATAGATCATAAAAAATTAACATATTGAAAATTGTATTAAAATTATTTTATTCTGAGCGAAATTACCACTGTTTGGAGATGTAGCGGAGATTGTTTATTATCGTGGCATAGGTACTTGACAATCGGTACTATTTCTAGATTATCCATTTTAAATTAAATGAAATTGTCGATCGTGTTTCGATCCGTTTAAACCTCGGTCATCCTGTGGTTTAGAGAGTTGTTTAGCGAGGCTTGCCATATAAATATATGTCTAAATAATAGTTTATATAACATTTGAAGTCAAAATAAAGACCTGCAATATTCAGATTTATCTCTTATATAATGTACATTTAATTTTCTAAATGGTTTGATGCCCTATCTTTCATACGTTTCGTCTCTCCCAATAGAACGACTTTCTGTTACTAATAGATTGGACAAATTCGGTATTTTACACGATAGAAAGTGTCCTGTTTTATACTTATATAATAGATAATGATTAATGATGGCAAAAGCTAAAGTGAATTAGAATAGTGAATTAAAAAGTAATTATCTGTTAAAATTGTACAGGGAATTATGAAGATTGCCCCATTCACTTCAAATAATAATGTATCACTTATTATTGTGCATATTTAAATAATGTCTCTTGTTAACGGACCGTGAATTCACCTAAGATTTGGCGAACGGTCTTACCGCAGTGAAAATGTTTGTAAAACATACAATTATTGTTTTACCAATTTGTGACATTTTAAAAAAATTTCCATTCACAACATGGGACATGACTGTCTTTGCAAAAGATTCTACACATAACATATATTGCACTTGTGGTCAAAACCGCAAAGATTTCCACATTGGTGTCCACATGAAAGCATTTTCTCACACGGAAACCTACACTTGTGCTGTGCTGGTGGCCTATGACAAGGCACTTGGTCGTAGTGACCACATCTTGAGATAAATTTGGATACAGACACTTGACATTTTTTACAACCCTGGAAACACATTAGATGACATCGATGTCCTTCTTCGCAGGTTTTAGGACACGGTTTACGGCAAGTATAGTCCCGGTGCTCTAGATCAATAAGGTGACACTGCAGCTCACAGGCATGTCCACAATCTAAACGAGACTTACATATTTTTTGGCATCCCCCAGATGCAGCTTTATCAAAATCATCAGGTGTGTTAATCTTTATTCCTTTACCTTTAGGATGGTTTGGACACTTCAGTACAAGGGTTTGTCCTATTTCGCCATGCCTTTCCAGGGTTGTTATTATTTCATTCCATAATGGACTTTTATGCCGAAGGATGTCAAAGTTACCCATAACATAAAGTCCTTTCTTGGCTCTGGACAAGGCCACGCATACTCTATTATCAGTTTTCAAAAATCCTACGTCCCTTTCTTTGTTGTTCCGAACCAAAGACAGAATGACGATTTCGTTTTCCTCTCCTTGGTAATTATCAACCGATGTGACTGTTATTCCTTTAAACTGATCGTCAGACATCAATCTACCCAACTGCTGCTTTTGACTCGAATATGTTGCAAGGATCGTTATCTCGTGTGTACCATATCCCTGTTTTAAAAGGTAATCAGTTAAACCTACCAAAAAGCGTGCCTCATAAACATTGGAGCGACTCTTTGTCTCTGCATCATGATCTTCTTTGTTATAATGGTTTATAAAAAATACGTTATTTGCCATTCCTTTCACATCTTGTCTGCCACATACACTCTGATGATCTACTAGCTTTGGGTATATGGACTTCAGTAATTTGGATATTTCAGGTCGCATTCTATGCTGAAGTTCAAGACAGTCACAATGAACACCATTATCCACCATTCTTTCGAAGAGCGATATTTCAAGGTTAAATTCTTTAGCAAGTCTGTGGACATTTGGGTTCGGTCTTAATTGTTTGTGATCTCCTATAAGAATAAGATGTTCACATTGTTCACTAAGAGCAGCAATGACATGCCCTTCTAATACTTCCGCTGCTTCTTCAATGACAATTATTCTTGGATTTATCTCTTGAAGTATGTGTTGATATTTTGCTGCCCCTGTAGTGGTCATGGCGATAACAGAGGCCTCTGACAATATCAATTTTTCCTTCATAAGCATCACACCTTTTTGAGCGGTGCAAGATTCCAAGTATTCTTTACATTGATGTGTAACATTTTGCCTTACCTTCGTTCGAGCCTTCGAAACCCAATATCTGTACAACTGCCAGCGAGATTTGGTATCAATCGCAAAAATGTTATCAACGTCGTTAACGTCCTCTTCCGCCATTCTAATGTTTGATTTTCTTTGTTGACGGGAAGTCTTTTTTTGCTTTCTGGATAGCCGAAAATCATTATCTTTGTTTTCAGTAACTTTACTCAAACCTAGCCATTCCATAATTACTGAATCTCCAGAACAATAGGCTTGCTGAAGCTGTGTTCTGTGCCTTGGTAACATAATTTGGTACAAATTGTCTTCACATATGATATCATCACCCTCTGGATCAACATTGTGAGATGCACGCTCTATAATATTTTGATAGTATTCAGTATTTCTGCCGTGATTATAACTCTCTCTACCAAGATTCTTATATCGGCCTTCCTTTCGTCCTCGGTCCTTCCAGGCTTTTAAAGAATACTTTTCAAGTTTTTCGTTGGTAATTCTATTTCCAACGCGAACTATTTGACCATCATAAAATCCAGCAATTCCCGCCAGAAACTGATCTAAAGCATGGTTTGTATAACATATAATTAACATTGGTCTTGTTGGAACACCCGGTGCTTCCCAATTTTTAGAATTATGGAGTAACGCCTTGACTATTCTTAATCCAACGCGAGTTTTACCTGTACCTGGTGGACCTTGAATCATACAAAATTCTTTGGTTAAAGCCGTTTGAAGGGCCCTGAATTGTGATTCATTTAGGTTCAATAATTCTGGTGGTGGCCAGGCATGGGGATCCAAGACATTTACTGCTGCAGCACACCCAGATTTCCTGCTAAAAGAGCAAGTTTTTTGTAGCACAATATCATCATCAATTAAAGGTCGCAAATCAAATACTCTGCCACGACCTTGTCGAATATAGATGGGTGGGTCCACATGGTTCTGACAATGTACTATATATTTTTCGAAAGGTAAAATCTTTACATTTTGCAGTCCACCAAGTACATGTCTATAAGCTTCATAAAAAGCCCTGTTTTCTACCATAACAAAAGGTTTGTCACCGTCCATTGCAAAAAGATCATCCAGATCATGCTCAAATCTAACGTCTATCTTCCCTTCTTTTATCAGCTGTTGATCTCTGTTTATCACGGTAGCATTGTAAAATGTCTGGAAATAGTTAGATGAGAGGCAAACCAAAGAACCGTAAGTCAGACGCTTTGAGGTGTCCCAGTCAATATCCCCAAGTTCAGTAACGTCGAATTCAAGCCGATATAAAAGTTCCATTCGAGAACAGATTGGTCGAACCACACTGACCCCAGTATAGATATATACATCTTGACCCCCGCCTTGATCCACGCGACATTGGTAATTTGCTAAACCATTCCGGAGTGTTTCTATAAAATCTTCTCTCAGTAAACGAAACTGTACATCTAGATAGTGGTTCACATTGTCATACTTCCCTTTAATCTTGTTCTCCCGTAAAAATGGTTTTATTTTTGGGTTTAAATCGTTAAGCGTTGGTAACAGAGATATTTGACGGTAGTCATTAGGAGGATCAGCATCCTCCAAATTGACACGTTCTGTTCGCGTAACCAACTTTTCTTCCGCTTTTACCTTCACTTTAGCTATTTGACGGCAGTCATTAGGAGGGTCAGCATCCTCCAAATTGACACGTTCTGTTCTCGTAACCAACTTTTCTTCCGCCTTTACCTTCACTTTTGTTAAGTTGACCACTTGATTGAAAAGACTCACTACTGTATTATCAATGACGTCAGACGTTTTTTTAAGGCTTTGAATCTTTTGTAATATGAGGGACAAAACATGATGTTGGTTTCGCCTTGATTCTGGAATTTTAGCAAAAAGATTCAAGAGTATAAACAGAATGTCAAAGATCACTAAAGACAGTTTCTTTGTATTTTGCTCACGTTGTAAGATGTAAGTCACTCCACTTGTGAGCAATATGGAGTTTGGTAATTTACCCAAGATATTCTTTGATATTTTAGGCAGTGACTCGCATTTAAGCGCATTTGCTAGAACAGACAGAGCTAGACCGACAGTTTCTACATCTCTTTCTAAATCCAACATTTCTTCAATCTTACTATGTTCTAGGAACAGGAGAACATTAGCGGGTTCTTCTTCTTTATATTTGTGCAATTTCATTAAAATCGGTGTCTTAGGATATCGTGTTTGGTCCAATGTTTGACTGACGTTTTTCGCGCTCTCTAAAGTTAATGATTGGCGCGTTACATCGCTTGATATGCTTTGGTAATTCGGTTTCAGGTTTTTGTTACTTTGCAGCAACGGTGTTTTAACTTGAGCTGGACGCGTGACCTTCTCTGGAACATTATTTTCATTTATATTTTTTTCTACAGGGCCTGGTGTAGGACAACGTGTGCGCGTTCCCCTTCCATGAACAGTACTCTGATGTATGCCCTTACTATTTATTTCTACGACAGCTGGAGTCCTTTGTAGATTGTTTGCCGCTCTTATAAGGGGTGAATATCGACTTGGGGCATGCGGTATCGTTTCTCTGTAAACTCTCGAATTTGTCTGTTGATGATTTTGGTGTGTTTGTTCAATGCATCGACTTGGCTTATCTCTATTTTTACAGCAGAGACGGTTTCCCATTGTTGAATTTTTGTGGAAGGTACACTGAAAAAAAAATAATAAAATAAATAATTAACAAACTGAAACCAGTTCGATGAAATATTTAAAAAAAATGGATTCGTAAAATAGGCATGCTTAATTTGGGAACGGAGTGCAATTATTTTGGAAAATTCGATGACCACAAACGCGTTTTCCTGCTATTCCAGCCACTGCATACAGCAACCTTCTTCAAAATGGTCTAATATAGTCTAATTAAGATGGCTGACTCTAATTCCAATCAACCAATCAATCGTTTACAGTCCACGGGGACGGAAACGTCGGGAGCAAATTTTGAAAATTTAACAGCTGCAAAGGCGTGTTCATGCTATTTTAGTCTGTGAATACAGCAACTTCAATGTGGTCCATTATAGCCTACCTTTGTTGACTGACCTGAACCTCCAACAACCAATCAATCGTATGGGGGCCTCGCCCTTCCGGAGAAAATTTTGAAAATTTAACTACCACAAATGCGTTTTTCTGCTTCTCTAATCTTTAAGGAACTCTAAGTTATCTAATGGTTTTGCAACCAAAATCCCACTCTATGCCGACCTGAATTCCAACCATCCAATCACACTGTTGCAGCTGCATTCACAAATAATAATCGATGCCCGAAAAATGTCGCATAAAGTAGAGTGCCTCCAGACAAAATGTTTTAATCCATAGTCAATTCAGTACAAATTCGGGATATTCAATTAAAAGAAAAGTAAAATTAGTGTTTTTTAGATTTCGGGCACTTTATTTTGCCAACTAGATGAAATAATATATATTTTTTTTCACTTTACCCGTCTGCCCGAAAAGCCAGATTGCCCGAAAGTTAGGGGGCAGCTGCCCTCCCCCCCTGGCTCGTACGCCTATGCAACTTGCGGGTGCGGCTTCCAAAATAGTCAATCAATATGCCGTTTACGGCAGAGTTCAAAATTGTTGGCATGATTGGCATTGCAAGGTTATGTAATGGAGATAGAATTGAATAAAAGTTAAATTATCTGACCAAATGTCTTTGGTTTATCATTTCACACAATTATAAACACATATACTATCAAATTCACACCAAACATTTAGTTCCAATTACAATGACGTCATTTTCCCGAAAACGTACTGTAAAGTCAGGGTAGGGTATGCGGCACCCAAAATATTTTCAAGCTTCAAAAGGACCTTTTGAAATTCAGTAGTGTTTGGCGACCGTTCGTGCTAATACTTTGCCAGAAGTAGACCAGTGTGTGAAATTTATGGCAACGGCGACAATACCTTGCTTTATAGCCTGATTATATTCCCCCCGGGGGTGAGGGTGGGGGTGGGGGTTTGTTGGCAAGGATTAGTAAACATTTTGTGCTTGTAGCGATGGTATGTATTGAGATATGCATTTAGGGTGGATATGGCGTGGCGGACCAATGGTGACATTTGACCTAGTAAGAAGCGGGTCTATTCCCAAAGTTGACCCACTCAGAAGGATTCATATTGCCCTAGGGATCACAAGGAACAATTTGATAAACCACTTTATTGATTTATTGATCTACGAGAATGGTAATGCATATTCATTAAGTTAATAAAAATATTCAATCATTTGTCAATTATGTTTCACCCGAAGCTTGGTTATTTTCAAACTTTCCCTTAAACCCCCCGCGTACTTACCAAAGTATTTATTAAGTCACCATGCAATGACAAACATTTCCTAAGAAGAAGGATGAATGGTTAAATCTCGGCGGTTATAGCAGACGTCTCGTGTATCGTTGCGTACAATGAGATACTGTATTATACAAATTACATTCAATATTTAATGTAATTTCATAACCTGTGCATCCGGTAAACTGTGTATTAGATGGAGATAAAATATGCGATTATATGGTATAGATCATTTCCTAGTATGCTGTATCGAACATTTACGACCATATTGTAATTACAATATTTGGAAATACATATCATAATGACGTCATAAATGATAGCGACTACCTGGAATTTCTACTTTCATTTTCAGTTTGCGTTTTGTATAGATATACAGTGCACTAAAAGCGATGTATACAAGCCGAGTCAAGTCATAGGTTTCAATGAGAATATGCAATTATATAGTATCGATCACTTCCTAGTATATCGTTTCGAACATTTACGACCATATTATATAATTACACTACTTGGAAATACATATCATAATGACGTCATAAATGGTGGCGACTACCTGGAATTTCTACTTTCATTTTCAGTTTGCGTTTTGTATAGATATACGGTGCACTAAAAGCGATGAAAACAAGCTGAGTCAAGTCATAGGTTTCAATGAGAATATGCGATTATATAGTATCGATCACTTCCTAGTATATCGTTTCGAACATTTACGACCATATTATAATTACAATATTTGGAAATACATATCATAATGACGTAATAAATGGTGGCGACTATCTAGAATTTCTACTTTCATTTGCAGTTTGCGTTTTGTATAGATATACAGTGCACTAAAAGCGATGTAAACAAGCTGAGTCAAGCCATAGGTTTCAATGAGAATAACGCGTGTCATTGAACTAAATCGCTTGCATTTACATGTAGTATGAATTTAGTAGTTTTATATTTTTGATAACAGAAGCTCATGAGAATTATCACTGTTTCGGGCATTTATAAAACATGATCTATATTTTTAAAAGGGGAATAAACGGAGCCAGAATTAAACGATAATTTGGAATTTTTTGTAAACGATTGTCGAATCTTAGAATTATTTTACAGCTTTGATACTAATCCACCAAATATTTATTGTTGAATTGCCTAGTTTTCTAATATAATCCCCACAGGTTTTGCATAAAGCCCGTCTTGTTCATTTAAAATGATTTTTACGTAGATAAATTAATACAGTAAGATATTAATTGATATTCAATAATTTAAGAAAGGTAACGGAATTATGTGTTGTATAGGCCTATATTAAAGAGGTATTTTAATACTCTTAAAATGGGATAGCTTTGGGTCAGCTCATTAAATTTGAAATCACCGACTTCAATCCAAATATTGTGTTGAGTATTCTTGGTTTGATTCGTGAGTTTTCATTACAGAATAGTATATCTCAGATACTACATAATCTTTTAAAAAAACAAATTGTATAGTAAACCTGTATGTACAGAGTTATTCTTGTCAAAATTTCAAATCCTTAAAATTGTGACATCAATCAAACTCAAAGGTTTTGATAGTTTTGTATCATCCTTGGTGAGATTCTGCTGAAATTCTTTGTAAAACTTCAAAACTTGTGCCAATTATGATTTCAAGATAACCAGGCCTCTGGTTCCTTGCTTGGCAACTTATATGTGGCACATCGCTATTCGTTACTGAAGTACTATTTATAGATTATATTATAATAAACATGCAAACAATAGATAAATAAATCTTTATCAGTTTTATTGGTAAGTTACACTATTTTCAATTCTTTCAATTTTAATCGGCTTATAAATGTTATAATATTATGTAGTCAAAAGAGAATCGCAAAATCGTAATGGAATTCTCCCGGCTTAGATTTAATCGGATTAAATAGTGACCCATTTTATCCACCCCCCCCCCTTTATATATGTTGCGAAATTTTCAATTCATCATAAATACTTAAAAAAAATTGGATTAAATGACGACCCGATACGCTAATACATAGTGTACATCTATATAATAATAATAATAATAATATTTAATGTTAGACAGCTTAACAAGTTGATGTGAAACGTTCCGGACAAAAGCACTGCTATTTTTTTTTTACATTTTTAAGTCCCACTTCTTGAAGTATATATTTTGGTGGCCATCTATGTAAAAACGCATGTCTACCAATTAGTATAGCAATCTTGATTATTTCACAACCTACATTTGCAGGAGGGAGTGGGGGGCCGAATGGTTAGCACGTGCGTGCTGTATCATAAGACCCGTCATTGAGTCAACTGGCGTGGTTTCGAATCCCCGGTTGTACGTAACAAGGAGTAGGGTCGCCTGTCTAACCTCGTGGGTTTTCTCCGGGTTTTCTCCGGGTCCTCCGGTTTCCTCCCCGGCTAAAGACCCCTACGCGCAAGCGAATTATTGAAATCAAATTAAACCATATGTTAGTCCTGAAATGACCTAGTTTGTGACGAGTGAACGATAACCCCATGCCCCGGCCTCTCTCTCTCTCATTAGATGTCAGTCGGAATTTCGTTATAATCTACAGCTTCCGTTCTTTATTCAGGGACCGATTATTGTAAAATAAACGCCATTTGTTACCGTAATGATAGTTATAATTTTACCCCCCCACCACCCCCCACCTTGTAACATTTGTGAACGTCAAAACATTTATTAAACTAAATATAATCTGCTCTAATATCAAAACATGATAGTAAATCAATTGGAACAAATTAAAATAAGTCATAGATTTTACATTTTATGCAATTAGGCAATAAGCAAGACGTAATATGCACTGGAGTAAGCATTATCATAAGCGTTTTGGGTGGTTGGGAAGCCGACTGGTTTATTGCGTGCGTTTTTTGATCATAAGGTCTGTCATTGAGTCACGTCGCTTGATCTCGATTCCTGGATTGTACGTGACAGTGAATAGGGTCGCTTGCCCAACAGGGTGGGCTTTCTTCTACCACTAAACACCTCTTTAGGCGCAAGCAAATTATTGAAATAAAATTGAACCTTACGTTAGTTCTGAAATGACCTAGTTTTTGTCGATTGAATGTTAAGCCCCCCCCCCCTCTCTCGCTTTCTCTGGGTCTCCCATTAGATGCCAATCTGCTTTCGTTGTACAAGCTCTAATAATATCACACTATACTGTTTGTACGTCCGATAATATTGTAAAGTATTACGCCATCTGACCTGACAATCGCGTCTTTCAATTTCGGAGAATTGTAAAATGACTTCTATTTTTAGAATTTCTGAAATAGTGAGTCTTAAAAAATAACAATAACCATAATTTGAGTTCAAATATTATTTTTAATAAAATTTAAAAAAGTAGGATCACATTAAAGACGATAAATTCCACAGCAATGATGACATTTTCAGCGCCCGGGTGAAATTTCACTGAGAACGCTGTTTGTAAAGACGCAATGCGTCAGAATGCCCCAAAATTTAATTTTGCATTTTTAAATTATACAAAGAAAGGTTGCCAGGCAACGAAACATGCACCCCCAACGGCTAAAACGTCCGTACAGTCGACAAGGGTCGTCTCATATTTATTCTTTTGTTTGTAATGGGGGCATTTATAAGACAGTGATATCAATTTCCTACAATCATGATAATTTTTGTCGTTGGATCGGTCACAAGGTTCTACAAAGTGAAACAAGGGTCATAACTCTAGAAGTAATTGGTGGAAATTGACGGAAATTGATGAAATTAAATACGCTTCTTCACCTCACTAATGTAACACCATACATATAATAATATAATATAGAATCTCCTACAAGTCTTATTTGATATCAAAAAATATCAACACAAGTTGATAAAGTAACAAAAAACGAGATTTTATTTATCACCCAATCCTTTCTTATGTGCACAAACAAATAAATATAATTCTTTGCTATAGACTTTTACTGAACCTGATTACATTACGGCGTAGTGATACATCATTTTTCGACAGCAATTCAACCATTACAAAGTCCTTTATATTGACCCAGTGTTTCCATCAAAGTCAGTTAAATAAAAACAATTTATTTTTAATAAAAAAGGAGTTACTTTTAATAAAAAAGGAGATATCGCAGTAGATTATGAAATTTATCACACAAGCGATATCTACTGTAGAATGTATTATTGGGTGATAAAAGGTAAATAATACCACCTTGACTTTGATATTGTCTTTTTCTATGGCGATATAGGACTGTTTGATCCTAATAATTATTGAAATAAGAGTATGCCGTAGCCCCTCCACTGCCCCACCCCCTCAAAGCACACTATAAGGCGTACAGCCGTCTGCATTAGCCCAGTCTTCGTAGATATGTATTAGCCTACGCTAAACCCCCTTTTTATTTCATTTCTCGGGTATGGCAACCACGGATTCATTTCTAAAACTACAAATAAGAATATTTTCCGTAATTTACATCTACATAGGAACAGCTGTTTCAAACATTGCAGCCATAAAAAGAGTTCTCTCTTGTTTAGGCCTAACATGCACAATGTTGGTTGCTTTTTTGGGGGGAGGGGGTGGGGGTGCTTATTTTTCTAAAGGTGACCTTTTTTTTGTATAATATTTCAAACAAATTTAGATTGATGGGAGGTAACTCTAAAAAAGGTTTGCCTTAAAGAAGCACTTCACAGGACGCTGCAAATGAAATTGGGTTTAGGTATGTCACTCAAACTCCAACATATAACGAAATAAACAGCATACTGTGGAATCGATAAGTCCCCCTTCGCTCTTACCTGAATCAAAATTATTGTACATACAAATGATTAATAAATACACAAGAAGCACTGCACCCATATACTATTATAAATAAAACGATCATTTGGTATATCGAAATATTTAGTATTTTAAATTTTAAAAAAAAAACAACATACGGATCAAACAAAGTTTCGTCTAAAGTTTTTGAAAGTAAACAAGAATAAGTCAAATACAAAGAAAGCGATATCCCTTTGTATAAAAAGCATGAGAGAACAAAATATTACAATAGCAGTTACAATTGATCTCTTAAAATAGAAATACTCATTAGAATATAAGATAGGTTGCCAGGCAACGAAACATACGCCCACAGCAACTAAATCGTCCGGGCAGTCAACAAGGGTTGTCGCATATTTTTACTTTTTTCGGTAATGAAACATTTATAATACACTAAAATCTGATTAAGAGCAACAACTCACGAAGTAATTATCAGAAAACTATTAGAATTTGTTTGGTTTTTATAAAGTTCTGCCCCATGCTAACGTTTTGTATGCAAAGCTATTAATATCATGGATTTAACTGTTTAAGTCATAAAAATTCATTGAAAATCAATAAACTTGTTCGTCTCAAGATCTTAAACTCTGTGTATCAATCTGAAGTCAATCAGATTATAACTTTAGCCTTTAGAGCATCACAAGATTTTGCAAAGTGATCAAGGGCCATAACTTTGGCAGTAATTATCGGAAATCGTTGAAAATCAATAGGAATCTTCGTCTCATGACCTCAAACACTGTGTATAAATTTACACTCAATCGGATATTAACTTTAGCCTCTAGAGCATCCACAAGATTCTTTGAAGTGATCAAGGGCCATAACTCTGGCAGTAATTATCGGAAATCGCTGAAAATCAATAGGCTTCTTCGTTTCATGACCTTAAACACTGTGTATAAATTGATATCAATCGGATATTAACTTTGGCCTCTAGAGCGTCCACAAGATTTTTCAAAGTGATCAAGGGCCATAACTCTGGCAGCAAATATTGGAAATCGCTGAAAATCAATAGGCTTCTTCGTCTCATGACCTTAAACACTGTGTATAAATATAAAGTCAATCGAATATTAACTTTCGCTTCTAGAGCATCCACAAGATTTTTTTAAGTTATCAAGGGCCATAACTCTGGCAGTAATTATCAGAAATCGCTGAAAACCAATAGGATTCATCATCTCATGACCTTAAACACTGTGTATAAATTTAATGTCAATCGGATGTTAACTTTAGCCTCTAGAGCATCTACAAGATTTTTTGAAGTGATCAAGGGCCATAACTCTGGCAGTAATTATCGGAAATCGTTGAAAATCAATAGGCTTCTTCGTCTCATGGCCTCAAACACTGTGTATAAATTTAAAGTCAATCGGATATTAACTTTGGCCTTTAGAGCGTCCACAATATTTTTTGAAGTGATCAAGGGCCATAACTCTGGCAGTATTTATCGGAAATCGCTGAAAATCAATAGGCTTCTTCGTCTCATGACCTTAAACACTGTGTATAAATTTAAAGTCAATCAGTTATTAACTTTAACCTCTAGAGCGTCCACAAGCAATTGTGGACGCCGGACCGACGGACCGCCGGACCGACGGACGGACGGACGGACGGGGGCAACGACAATATACGATCACATTTCAATGTGGGCGTATAAAAACGGTACTCTATACTAAAAAAGATTTTCTGTACTGTTTGGTAACTTCAGCAATATGTTGAACAATGCATGGTAAACGACTACCAGTAAGCGCCATCCCCTGAAAAAAAAGAAGTGAGCATAATTCAGTTTACTGTGTGTTGTGACTGTACCATTACATATAATGTTGAAAATGTGTTGTCTCATTGTTAACAAATGATGGAAAAACAGAAGATGTATACTAGAAGAAGTCGGCATGGTATAAAGTTTGCCGGGATGTTCAGAGTGATATCAGGTAGACTGGTCTACACTGAATACGATATTTCATATACATTTTGATGGGGTTTAACGTCCTTCTGTTTTGCTCCGACTGGGCTAATGAAGACGGACATACAGTGTACTATGAGGGAAGGTTTGCTCGGACAGCGGCGCTACAGCCTACTCTTTAACGTGCACGCCCATGTGTAAACGGGACCTCGGTTTTTTTAAACATCCGCACGCACGACTATACGTTGTCCCTCGGTCTTGCATCAAGCCGGAAAATCCCGATGAACTTTCTTGGACCTCCAGGTTAGCGAGCCAACGTGTCTCCCAGAAGTAGACCCCGTAGGCTACTATAGAAGTCTACTGAAAACAATTATTTTCTAATATGAAAAACGCAACAAAATGGTCTGAAAAGAAGAAGAAAAAATTGGTTAAAATATTTGATTTTTTGTTTTATCAAACAATATATTCTAAACTTTTAATAGTAGAATGACATTATTTATGAATAGTCCCAAGACGGATGAAAAGTACTTTAAAATCTTAAAATGTTATTAAACCAGTGTTGAAATCAGTTTGTGTCGGCATACCTTTTATCTTTTCATCATTTACCGTGAAACAAGGTAGCATCTTTACGGTTTTGCTAATATTTTTGGATATATATTTGTGTGTGTATGTGTGTGTGGGTGTGTGTGTGTGAATAAATATAGCAAATACTTACCAGATAGCTATATTTATACTGTAAATGTATCTACATCTCCAAATCAACATCAATAATACAGTCATCGGCTGATGGCACCATTTCTTTCAAATTATTAATGGTGGTTTTTAAATACTCTATGTTCTGTTCCGTGAGTGGTAGCCCTTTTGTAATGATGGATTTACAGGTATAAACGTCTAGCTTCGTTGTACCTGAAAGCTTCTGTGCATTTATCTTACTTTCAAAAATAATTAATTGGTATGCTAAGCTCTGTCGAATAAATTCATGTTTTGCGTCATCAGTTTCTTGATCACTCAACACTACCCGCTTTAATTGCAGCCATTTAATAAACTGGTAAAAATGCTTTTTTACCACATCTATGTCATCATGTAGACGTGCCGTAAGGATATCCATGTTATACGTTATATTAAGAAAATGCACATGAGTAACCACGGCCTTGACCACAAGTTCTAATTGGTTTTCGAGGGTTACCACTTCAGTTTCCGTTCTACAAGAATTAAGCAGCCTATTAAAGTTATGTAATACTTCTTGTAAGAATGTTGAAATAGAAGGACTTGTCTCGGGCAAAGTTTGTACTCTGGTCGTAGCGTTATCTAAGCCTTTTAGAAAATCTTGTTTGCGTTGTAATACCAATTCAGTTTCTCCAATGGTGGTACCATATCGTAAACTTCGCTTAATTGGTGTTTCACAGATGATACACCGGAAGTCGGTGGTTGAATCCATAAACTTATCCAGGATGTTATACTCAAATATATGTTGACAATCTATCAACATAACAAATCGTGCATCTGGAGAATTTTCTGGTCCAAAGAAAATTTCAGTGACAACTTCAGCATCACAGATTCTACAGTAGCGTGGACAAGGTTCACCACACAGCCCGATGCAGATATGACCACACCCTAAAGTCTTCTCACATGGTTGTTCACACGGTGGTAGAGTACATCTTTCAGAACAGCCTTTTCCGCATTGGTGATGTTTACAAAACCAAGGACATGGTTTTTTACATGGATTGTAGAATTCATCTGATTTGGCTTTTTGTGGAACGTGTTGACATTTCCTTTTGCAAACAGCTGGGCTTAACGGAGAGTTTGCTAAATTATTCGTACAACTGCATGCTTTATGGAGTCTTTGTGTCATACATTCATTGCAGGTTCCTTGACACTCATGTCCACATTTTAGTTTCTTTTTACAGTGTGCATTGCAAATTGCCCTTTCCAGGTCGGTGCACTTCACTTCACCAGTGTGCCCACAATGCAAAGTCTTTTGTTCGATTGTTTTACATTCGTGGCTTCTACTGCAAATGTTTCCACAGTTATGCCCACAAGAAAGTATCTTCACACACGGTTGTTGGCATGCGTGTTCACTGGGTTTCTTATAGCAGGGTACTTGCTCAGTATGATGACAGCCAGGCATAACTTTAGCAACGAGTTTAGGACATTTACATACTTCAAAACATTTCAAATTACACGGATGGCCTGCTACACATAACTTTTGGCAGGGGTGTAAACAAGCGTGGTCTTCCGGAGACAAATGGCATGGGACTTGTTCAATATGATGACAGTATGGTATAACTTTAGCAACAAGTTTCGAACATTTACATACTTCAAAGCATTTCAAATTACACGGATGGCCTGCTACACATACCTTTTGGCAGGGGTGTAAACAATCGTGGTCTTCGGGAGGCATATGACATGGGACTTGTTCGATATGTCCACATTGTGGTATAGTTTTCTCCACAGGCACTGGACACAGGCATTTTTGAAAACATTTAAGTTGACATGGATGACCCTCTACACATGTTTCAGAACATGGTTTGTGACATTGATACTTCTTGTGTTCCAAATCTACTGGGTGGCATGACATTGCACAGGCATGGCCACAGTCTAATCTGGCAAAACATTTCTTTTGACACCCCCCATCTGGGGCTTTTTGAAAATCTTCTGGTGTGCTGACCTCAATTCCGGGATCACCAGGGTGGTTCTGGCATCGTAACAATAGCACTTCTCCAAATTCGCATGATGTCTTTGAAGTCTTCACCATATCCCGCCATAATGAACTTTTATATCCAAGCATATCAAAATTCCCTATAACATAGAGACCGTTCCTTGCTCTTGACAAAGCTACACATACCCGGTTTTCAATCTTCAAGAAACCGATATTGTCTTCCAAGTTACTACGCACTAAAGATAAAATAATAATTTCATTTTCCTCTCCTTGGTAATTATCGACCGATGTGACTTTGATTACTTCAAACTGACTTTTAGGCATCCTTTGCTTAAATAATAGCAATTGACCGGTGTATGTTGTTAGAATTGTTATACACTCTGGACCATACCCTTGTTTTAAAAGATATTCAGTTAATCGTATCACGAACTGAACTTCGTAGAGATTTGAGTGACTTCTCCTTTCTGTGTCATGTTCCTCTGCGTGATTATGATTAATGAAAAATACGTCTTTTGACATGCCTTTAATGTGTTTTCTATTATAAACAGATGTGTGATCTTTTAGATTGGGGTAAATATGCTTCATAAGTTTGGATATTTCTGGTCTCATTCTATGTTGAAGATCAAGACCATCACAGGGAACATCATTATTTATCATTCTTTCAAAGAGGGATAGATCTAAATTAAATTTTGTAGCCAGCTGGTAAACATTTGGATTAGGCCTTAATTGCTTGTGATCTCCTATGAGTATTAGATGTTCACATTGTTCTGTAAGAGATGTAATAATGTGTCCTTCTAACACTTCGGCTGCTTCCTCAACAATGGTTATCCTAGGACTTATTTCTTGGAGTATGGTATGATATCGTGCAGCTCCTGATGTGGTCATGGCAATAATGGAAGCTTTAGCCAAGATGAGTTTCTCTTTCAAGAGTACCACTTCCCTCTGACTAGTGACGGTGTCCATATATTCGGTACAGTAGTCTAAATAATCTTGCCTTAGCTGTTGGCGGTATTGAGAAACCCAATATTTATAGAGTTTCCATCGTGTAGTGGAATCAACACTCCATACGTTTTTTACCGATTCAGGCTCAGCTGCTTTAAGTTTGGTAACAGATTTTATATTTTGTTCTAATTTTCGGTTAAGTTTATTGTACTGCTTCCTGTCTAGTTGGAACCCGGCCTCCTCTTGAAACGTGTTAAAGCTATCAGTATCTTTGGGGTGTGTATATATTTCGTCGGTTGATTCATCTTCATGCAGAATCCTTTTGTTCCGTTCAATGTCATAATCTCCAGTAACGTTTATAACCCCGCCTCCTTTATGTTCACTATTTTGTTGTGAACTTTTCTTAACGGATTTCAGACCACACAAGTTTCCTAATCCTATTCCTAGCCATGCAAAAAGTGTAGCCATTATATTATTTTTTGTGACTATTGTAATGGCTTCAAATTGTCGTTTATGTCGTGGAGACATGACGTTGCAAAGGATGTTCCATGAAAGAACATGGTTTTCGGAAGTATCAATGCGTGAAGATATATCATCCGTACGTTGTTTTAAGTGATCAAGGTCTTCAGCATAAGTACAACTAATTCGACCCAGGTCTTTATAATGACCGACGCACCGCGCCTCATTCTTCCGGGTTTTTAAAGAATACTTTTCTAGGTTGGTATCAGATATTCTCCCCCCGACTCGAATAACACCTTCGTTGTGAAATTGAAGGATTCCTGTTAAGAATTGATCCAAAGCATGATTTGTATAACATACTATCAGAATTGGTTTTTTATTGATGTCTTCCTTAATCCAATCATTAGAATTATGTAGCAAAGCTTTAACAATCTTTAATCCAACATAAGTTTTACCAGTACCGGGTGGACCCTGAATTACTGAAAATTCCTTTGTTAAAGCTGTTTGCAGGGCTCTGTATTGGGATTCATCTAATTTAAGCAATTCGTGTGATGGCCATGACTCTGGGTCTAAAACATTCACTTGTGAAACACTGTGATTGTTTTTATCCTTTAAATCAACCAAAGGTCGCAAATCTATTCGTGCCCCAGGAATTCTTTTTATATACTCTGGCGCGTCGACGACATTATGACATTGTACGAGATGATTTTCAAATGGCAAAGCCGTTAAGCATTGGAGTCCTTTGAGCACATGTCTGTATGCTTCATAAAATGCCGTAGATTCCACCATAATGAATCGCTGATCTGGATCGATGGAGTTAATTTCTTCAATATCATGCTCGAACTTTAGATCTATGTAGCCATCAGCTATAAGCTCCCTATCACTATCAGATACCGTGGCATTATAGAAGGTTTTGAAGTTGTCAGAAGATAGACACACCAAAGAACCATAAATTAACCGTTTAGATGAGGTCCAGTTTTTTAGTTTCAAGCGTGATGTGTCAAAACGTAAACGATAAAGAATGCCTGTATGTGTAAAATTAGGTCGAACAAAAGTCACATTATTGTAAACGTGTATATCTTGTAACCGTTGCGTAGAGTCCCCTAATGTTGCTTGATATTTAGCTATACCGTCACGAAGAGGTTGTATAAAATCTTCTCTAAGTAAGCGAAACTGTACATCTAAGTAATGATTCACATCATCATACCTTCCTTTAACCTTGTTTTTTCTCAAGAACGGCTTTATATTAGCGTTTAAATCATCCAATGTTGGCAACAACGACATTTCCCGGTAGTCATTGGGGGCATCACCTTCACCATCTGAATCCTTATGTAGTATTCTTTGAGGATCTGCTTTCAGATTCTTGCGCTTTATCCTTTCTAAATCAAGGACTTCTTCCAAATTTGCGATGATATCCTCGTCAATAACTTCTGTAGTTTCTTGTAGAATCTCTATTTCTCTACGTAATAAAATTAACACACCGCTTTGATTTGCAATTGGCCCCGGTATTCGAATAAACAGCTCACGCAGAATACAAATTATATTTAAGATAGTTTTTCGCTGTGCCTCTTTGCCATCTGCCCTACTAATGCCCAGTATTACATTACTTATCTGCCTGGTGAAAAATAACGAACGATGTAATGTACCCAAGATTATGTTAAGATTTTGTGGAAGGGAAAAACATGTGCATGCCTTAGCTAGTATCGAAAGAGTTAGCCTGACGGATTCTTTATCTTGTCGCTGTGCGTTTAAAAGTTCGTGTAGTCGACTGTAATCATGACCTAATGTAATAAGAATGTGTGCCGAATCCTTCAGGTCAAATTCATGTAGTTGCGTAATATTCCAAAAATTTGGGGTCCTGTTCCATTCCCGGTTTTGGTTGTTTCTTGTATTGGGCGAACCTCTTCTACTATCGAGTGCTGCATATGGAATTTTTCGTATCTGGCATGGGTGACTTGTATGTCTTTGGTCACTACCACCAATAATAGGCTGATCTATTTGTGGTTCTCGTGAAAGAACATCTGTCCCCAGGTGGCGATCCCCAGGAGATGGTAAGCTGTCACGGATATTCTTCTCTTTTTCCCGATCGATACGGTTCATCAATTTACGGATAGGCCCGCTCATTTTTTATATCTTTATTCAAGCTGACTGAAAAAAAGAGAGAAAGGATCAAGCTGATGTTACTACAACAAAGTCGAGTTCACTTTCCGGATCTGGGGTCAGTTTATTCGTTACAACCGTTTCTCGATCGATTATCAAGCGCCACACATCTGCTACTAACGATCAGAAAGCGTCAAAGATCTGTTACAAAGATACAGAAGGGAAATATAATTCTCGTGACTGGCTGTGGCAACACCGCGCCGTCAACTCGTCGCAGAACAGCAGCAGATTGGTAATTAGAATCAAATCCTCAGTCATGATATGTGTGACAGATAGACAGGTCGTACACATCTAGATCATCAATTTTAAGTACGAATAGCATTTCATATTTACCAGTGTGGTTCGATTTGAGCACCCCGTGAGTAGAAATCGTACAATATTTGACAATGGTCGGCTACTCCGGAGGAATTTTGGTCCGACGATCAGCTGGCCAGAAGTTCCATTAATCTGAAACTCCATTGACAGCTGCCCCCTGGAAAAAAAATCGGCGCTCCCAATGGGCGCCCTTTTCATTGGACAAAATACAAAGCCAACGACCAACGTGCCCATATCAGTGTGGGCGCCCCATAAAGCCGAGTGACATTTAGTTTTATGGGTGCATCGCCAAACATATCGTTATATATGAGGCGCCCCAGATTGTAAGGCACCTCATAATGAATCACACGATTAACACCACAATTTGATTGATTGGGCGCCAAAATCGGCGGGATCTGTGGGTGCCTTATCTCGGAGGGGCGCCCATACATGATTGGTGGGGCGCCTTATAATGATAATATATGATTGTCGGGCCGCACATAATGCACAATGCCGAGTGAGATTGGTTGGGCGTCGACGGCTTGATCAATGGGGCGCCCAAAACGGCATGATTGGTTGGGTGCCTCATAACAGAGGTGCGCCCATAATGCCGTGATTGGTGGGCCGCCAACGACGAGATCATGGGCACCCGTAATATAACTGGCGGGGGTCCAATAATGCCGAGTAAGATTGGTATGGCGCCCACGAATGAATTCGTAATTCCTTCCTTCAAATGTTTAGGATGTTTATATCAAAATATCATTATGCGCCAATATCTCAAATTCAGCCTTAAAACATTATTTTCCAAAATCGTCGGGGGGGGGGGGGGCACTCTAGAGGCGCGCCCAGAGTTCCGTGCCTCCCCGAAACATTGTTGGGCTAGAAAGGGGTCTGTTAGCTTACTCAAATGAGTTATAAATTACATTACATCCTTTGTAATTTGAACAAATATATGCACTTGTGAAATATCTAAAATAAAATAGCGAATAGTAATGAGAATGTACCAAAGTTAACCAGAATAATGCAATAAAGAGACGTGATTTAAAATCCTTTATAACTAAGAATTAATTAACCAGCGGCTGCCAGGCAGGATACGCCCACATTTTGCAAGAGATGGATAGCAAACAAGCTAACAACAAAAACGAATTTCCCCGAAATTCCAATTCAACTTTCAATATGGTGGAATAGTGATATATCTAAACTGTTTTGAAAATCGGAAAAAAAAAGTGACTTCTAGAGAATCCACAAGCTAAAAATGCGAATTTTCAACCAATCAGGGGCCATAATCAAAGAAGTTACTTTCGGATATGTGTGATTATCAACAGGAACCAAGATCTTTATGATAAAAAAATATATTTAAAGTTTCATCCAAATCGGATAAAAACTGTGGTCTCTAGAGGGGCCAAAACCTTGATATACCATATATTCACACTATTTGGGTACAAGGGGAGGCCATTTTGTCCGTCAGTTTTTGTCCGATTTTCACAAAATTCGGACTCAACCATCATTAGTGTATAACTGTTATATATTCACACGTTTGTTTGTTTAAATTGGTTAAAAATTGTGGACCACAAGCTCAAAACGTGATTTTTCGTTCAACCAAGGGCCATAATTCAGGAAGTTACGATCCTATATGCGCGAATACCGACAGGAACCGAGATCTTTGGGTTATAAGCATGCATTTCAAGGTTCATCAAATTCGCATCAAAATTGTGACCTCTAGAGTGTCCACAACCTTAATATACCATATTTTACACTATTTGCCATTTGTTCCGATTTTCACAAAATTCGAACTATAGAGGGACCACAAGCTAAAAACGCGACTTTTCATACAATCAGGGCCAATAATTTAGGAAGTTAGGATCCGATATGCGCAAATGTCGAAAAGAAACAAGCTATTTCGATTATACACATGCATTTCAAGTTTCACCAAAATCAAAATTGTGACCTCAAGAGTGTCCACAAGCTAAAAACGTGATATTTCGTACAATCAGGGGCCATAATCCACGAAGTTATGGTCCGATACATGCCAATATCGAAATGAACCGAGATCTTTGGGAGATAGACCTATATTTCAATTTCCGTCAAAATCGGATAAAAACTGTGACCTGTAGAGTCCACAAACAAATTGTGGACGGATGTCCGGACGGACAGGGGGACGACAATATACGCCCATATGAAAATGTGGGCGTATAAAAACTATTGGTATTTATAACAAATATTTAATACACTATAAAATAATAAAACATACTGTAAAATTTACATGACTATCACAGTAAAATTACCGAGTTTAACTTCACTTTGATCTGTAACTATATACAGCAGGGTGCCAACCTCCAATAAATAACCACACAGTTTAGCCTGAATATAAACTACAGAAAAATTATTTACAGAATGTTCATTGTCTAGAAGTCAAAAAAGTACAACAATTCAGCTGAAACCTATCAGAATCCCAACTAACACGAGAGTGGTCTCTAACACTGAACAAATATATTTTCTGAAAAATATAATTTTCATTGATATTATATCAACAAAGAGCCAAAATTCAGTTAAATATTAACGGAGATCCCAGAACACGAATTTGAACTATAACTCCACATGCTCTTTTACCAGCTCAACAACGAGTACACAGTGAACCACCATCTTTGTACACGTAAAATAACACTTCAAACAGCAATTTGAATTAAATAATGACTAGGCGGACACATGCACGTTTCCACTACTGATAACGTCCATTCTGAGGCCTTCTTTGCGGTGCTTTCGTAGAGAATTGACTGTGACTGGACAGTCCAACGTAGACCGACGAAAATTCTTTGGCGTTTAACAAACAAATGTTTTATTTTCTTAAATTTCTCGAAAACGAAGAATGTTTAGCGCAATCGTCAAACATTTGTTCAGAAGAGACAAGATGGCGACATAAAGGCGCAATATGCCCTTAACTTATCAATGATTTCAAAGATATAGGGAATGTCGTACAAGGCGTAGAATCAAATTTCGGAAAGAGTTTCAGCAAGAGGATGAAGAAATGTTCAGGGTGAACTTCTTTCATAGGCAATTTCAGTATGAACGAAGATACGAATATAATTGATTTTCTCGTGCTAGACGGTTTGTCGAAAACGCTTTTGGCATTCCTCGCTAGATTACGCGTATTCTTGACAACAATTTGCTTGTCCTCTGATAAGGTTGTAAACCGACAGTCTGCTACTTACACAATGTTTTGTTGGTTAAATGTGGAATGCAAAAGGGATTATTGGATCAAGAAGAGAATCAAGAACTTTAGCCAACATCATCTGGAAATGCTACACTCAGCGCTAAATTGCAAAGAGAAGCTCTGAAGAAATATTTCAATTCGAATAAAGCAAGATTCTCATGACAGGTCAATATGGTTTAATTGTTGGGGTTTGACTCTTTGAATTTGTAGCAAAATCCTGTATCTGTACCATATTATTTGATGTGTACGGAAGACCATTAGGGTCAATCAAATGAACAAAGAAATTCTGATTATCTTGTAATGGCTGGCTGGCTAGTGTTTGGGTATGACTTTAGTATTGTAATCTATACTATGCTTGTACCACATGTAAGTAGCTATGATATGTAAAATGTAAAAACTAACTGTTGCATTGTTATTCCTGGTAAGACAAACGTCTTAAGAAAACAGTAAAAGTAAATACACAACGTGAGAGGGAAGCAAAGACCGCTAGAGACAGATTCTAGACGATCACAAGGCTACTATAAGATATGTAGTAAGAAAAGATGCACGGGTCATACGTAGGATGTGGCGACCGGTTTGACAATGGTCCGCTCTCCACGTCTGACAGAAGACCCATGGTACCACACAGTTGCCTGGAAGATAGTAACACCCATATCAGAAATGGATACTGGCATAACTGTCGGTGAGTTAGTCAAAGAAAGTATTAGAATAATGCAAGGTACTTACCTGGCCTAATTTTCGACATATCATGTAGGTAACAAATTTCTGCATTAAACAGAACACCTTCCATAGAACTAAAATAACCCTATAGTATTACACATACATGTACACATCACTATGTTGGCCAATCTCTTGTTTCACACTGTATGGTAATAGGTTTCGTATTGCAAGCTTATAGTCAAATCGTGGGCCCAGTGGGTTGACTTTGGGTATTGTTTTGGATCCGAGAGTCTATCCTTTCGGAAATAATTACACATGTTATCCCAGTGTCTCACCGTAAGCACCCCCCTCACGTATGGAACAACAACAACCACCTTTTGCTTACATGAAGTTTAAAGCCAATGGGGTCCACTCTTAGCGATAGACTATACATATTAACGACACATGTGTCAACGAAAAGCCTGCCTATTTAGAAAACGTCTACATGTTACTATTTACCAGTCATTTAAAGTACAGTGCCGATTTCTGACATTTTTTATTTTTTTTCTAAATCTATCTACATATATTGGTGAAGGGGTGGCATACAGCCAGGTGTTTTCTGTCAATAAATGCTCCCTTCTCGAAAGTCCACACGAGCTGAGCCATTTCTGTACCACATGATCGTTAAAGAAATACTGATTGGATGTCCGAATAAACGAGATCAACGCGAACATTTTTTGGCCGAACAATGTTTTTGAAATCAGACAATTCTGATCTCGCGGACATTGCTCGCCTAATAAATGTTCGTGTATGAATCTAACGCACATCCACTAACTTTTGTCGGAAAACATTGTTCGACCAACAAATATCTTCCCTTTCCATCTATAAAATTGTTTTACACCTTCATAGAACAATCTGTGAAAACAGCATTTAATACTGAAATGACGAGTGTGGCTGTACAAACTGTCTTTACTTAACGCATAACAGTTGAATATCAAACATACCCTTCGCTATTATAACATATTAAAATGAATATGAT